TAACAAGTTAACTACAAGACTAGTACTTGAAACTCAAAAGGATCAGTGTACGAAGTTGGTTGCAAAACTAAATTGGCAAACCAGAATTGGCGGTTAAACATAAGTAGGACATATTTTAACACCCGAAAAGAGAATACGATCTCAGTTTCTAGATAAATTTTGTAAACTATTATCTCGATAAACCTAATATATACAAAAAAAAAGGGTGACCAGACATTATGTCCATCAATCTTGGGATTTCATAGAAGGAAAGCCGTTCACATAATCCTTAACGAAATTTTCAATAAACAACTTTTCCCGTAAATTGCCCCAAGAGGAACTGCATCGTGTTACAATCGAACCTCAAATCACACTCCTTGTGATGTAAAGTGAACCTAAATATGCTAACATCTTCAAACTGTCAATTATGTTTGATTTAACTAAACAACAACATCATCATCAGTCATCATCGACAAGTGTATATCCAACAAATTCTCGAAACCCTAAAAGTCTCTTCACACCCCACACCTACCATTCTAGCCAAGTTAATGCACTTCAACCTAATTAAGTCGCAAAAACTGGTCAGACTTTGCTAACCCCCCCAAAATCGTGCGAGAGTAGAAAACTTGCTCCCTCGGATAGAAACCCTCGAAAAAAGGGGGACTAAACTAGACGTGGACGAAGAAGCAAAATCACTCAAAGCTGTTCTACTTTCCATGCGGAACGCTTTCTGGTGGGAGATGGATTAGATATAATGTAAAGTTGCAGTGAAAAGCAGCTTTTTCGGGAATTACATTTTTGCCGAACTTAATGGGAAAAACGGTGGGAAAGTGAGTGATTAAAGAAATGATTAGGTTAAGATAAGATGATGATTCGGTTCTGATTGCGAGTTGACATTTGATGGCACCCCTAGTTCAGCAAAATTCGATGTTTTCGATGAACTCAAATACGTAAGCAGAACGAGAGAGAGAGAGAGATTAGATGGATGAACGGCGTTGTGTTGGGACGTCCGCTTTTTGACCTTGAAACAGGAACGAAGAACGAGTCAGTGAGTGTGTTGGAATTACTTGGGTTGTGTTTTCCATTCATATATATATAACTTAAACATTAATCTGAAATGAAGTTAAAAATACAAATACATCTTATAAAATGAGAGATGCTCGTACTTTGAAGTATAGCTTTTCTTTATTACTAGAATTCATGCATTCTTTGTCCATTTCTCCCTCTCTTCCCTCCACCCTTTCCTCCCCAATAGAAGCTGAGTGCAACATTCGTTGCCTCGATCGAAAGGTGTTCCCAAAACTCCCGTAGATGTCGGTATGCACTGCTAAAGTGCCTATACCTCGATTCGGAGAGATCGTCGAGAAAGAGATCGAGTTTGATCCCGTCACAATATTTAATAACGTTTGCTTTCACACTAAAAATTTAAACAAATGAGTCGTGATTGGGAAACTAGAATGCATCAACTTTCAACGTGCACCTCAACACAAAACCTTAAACCCATGTGGCCACTGCCATGGAGACCTTGACACTAGGGTCGCCAATCACCGGCAGCGACTGCATCGTGGTTGTCCGGCGAGGGGGAGCTATAAATTCGTCCATCCATCGCAGCACACTTGACATTATAGTTGTGGGCGTGTACGTGTGTTCAATACGTTCCATATCGATAGCAACGACTGATGAGGACACATGCTGAGTTACTGCTTGCTATCGAAGAGAACTCGAACTTCTCATATGCGCGCTTGACTGCGATGCTCTGCGCCCATCGAGAAGGCACCCTTATTAGCTTAGTCGTTGCGGCGGCCGTACATGATTCCCCCCCGCGATTCAATTTGCGTCGGAGTTGGTAATAAATAATGCAGTTCGATACAACCTCAAGTCTTGTAATAAGCTGTGATCTGTAGTTATTGCCTTAGCCTCCACAGTCATTGATTGGCCGTCGGCGAATTGCAACTGCGATACAGCTAGTAGCTACTTGGTTCATCTTGGCAAAGAGGTTTCTATATCATGGTTATCTTTTTCATGGCCATTTTAGGATTTCTCAGCTAGATTATAAAAAAGCGATATTTCGCTCACGTCATTGTGGGGTTCATTTCTAATTGAATTTCGGGAAAATGTCAAATAAGCACCCAAAGTGGGTCTCTGTTCTCAAATAAGGACCCCAAGTGGACAATGTTTCAATTAAGGATCCAAAGTGCCCAAACTAGTCTCAAATAAGGACTCAGCTCGCCGACCGGCGACCGTCAGACATTTTTCGACCGGCGACGTCCGTCGGCCTTCGCCGGCGTCGGGCGACGGTCGCCCTCACTTGGGTGGGCGAGACCCGCCCTCGCCCTCGCCAGATCAGGCGAGACCCGCCCTTGCCCTCGCAGGATCTGGCCTCAGGCGAGGGCAGCCGTCACCCTAAGCCGGCGAAGGCCGCCCTCGCCTGAGGTCGGCAGACGTCGCCGGCGATGGCCACAAGAGGGAAGAGAGAAAAGAAAAAAGGAAAAAAAAAAGGACAAAATTGCCCCTATTTCGGCGCCAGAAAATGTCTGACGGTCGCCGGCCGGCGAACATTTGGCCAGCCGGCGAGCTGGGTCCTTATTTGAGACTAGTTTGGGCACTTTGGGTCCTTAATTAAAGTATTGTCTACTTAGGGTCCTTATTTGAGAAAAGAGACCCACTTTGGGCCTTTATTTGACATTTTCCCTTGAATTTCACACGACGCTGTTGCTTAAGCATCTCGGGAAGTGAAATGATCGCGACCGCTGTTGTTTGAGCTCGGCGATGTCTTCCGACTATAAGGCTCGCGACCATATAATCGCTTCACATTATTTATCGGAAACCGGCGTGTTTAGATTATATATTAGCTTAGATAAAACCCTCTACAGCGTGAGCAAAGCCTCCAACAAAACACTAAAAAAGCTGAAAAAAGAAGAAGGAGAGAACATATTTGATTTGGGACCTCATACCGGATTGTGCAGTGCACCTACAAGAGGGACCTCTTCTACATGCCGGTCCCAAGCCACTAGCAAAAACCAATCATGTAAATTCATGTTCCATAAAAATAAGATGAAAAAAATCATGTAGTTGTATGAATCCTAGGTTCTCTCCATTATCTAGTACAACGTCCATATTAACCTAATAACCCAAAAAATATTAACAAAAGAATAAAACATAGATGACACTATTGATGCACAAGATTAACAGTAGCCCATCATTAATTATTGATTCGCCAACCATTTCAATCAACATAATCAAGAATCCCTAGCTAACGCAATGAATGTAGTTTCGAGTCGCGGACCTCATGCCTTCTATTAATCTCCTTATTGAGGATCCGTTTGTTTAAAAGAAAACTATATAATTTTCTGACTTTTTAGTATTTGGATGACGAAAAGCCAATCGATCTATGAAAAACGTTTTTCATCGGCTAAAAATTACAAGCTTAGGTTGGAGGGAAAACGACTTCCTCTTTTCGTAAGAAGGAAATAATTTTCCATGAACCACCAAACATTTGGAAAATATCTTCTTTTATTATGAAAATTTCCGTGATACAAACGCACTGTACTAATTTCTCGTACTTCACTTGCACGATTAGCTTGTTCTATGATTAATTCATTACGTCGCGTCCTGTTACTATGTGTATAGAAAAATTATTTTTTCGGGGAACCCAAGAAAAAACCTCTCACAACGATGTCGTTTTCCTGTGACCACGCTACTAAAAACTGCGATCCTAGGGTTCTCGCCGCGTTGTTGTTATCACAAATTAAAAGGTCGATCAGCTGGTTCTGATCTCTGAATCTGGAGGTGTACGCACCAGAGCTACCGTGGTCCTTACCCTACCGAACTAGACCCCATCCTTTTATTGACTTCCTAAGGAAAAAATTATAGCTATACACGTATTGTATTCATCCCCCTAAATGACAAGCTGGGCCCCACCTAATCAGCGGCTCATAATTAATGGTGTGAAATTAAGAAAAAAATGGTCAGTCCATGATTGCCCGATTTCATTGCGATCCCCACCCACTTTGCCCACAATGTTCTGTTCTTTTTTCTTTTTTTTTTTGGGAAATTTTCCCAATCATCAAACGAAATAGAAAAATTGGAAAAAACAAGGTCGAGATGGGATATGAAATATGTTAATTATCGATAATAGTAGATTAAGGGGAATGGTCCAATTCTCAATACAAGGAGTTACACATGAAAGAGATGTGCATTTTATTCAATCTATATTTTGATTTCCTTAATAGTTCAATGGGTATGGACGCAGACTCGGAGCAATTGCATGCGGCCGGTGAGATTTGACTCCAACCAATTGTGCAGCTTTGGTGGGCTCTGCTATGTTTCGTTTTCGGGTCCTCTATATTGAATCTTCTTAGCTAAATGCACTATCTTGTGGAAAAGAAAGCTTTAATCTGGAGGATTTGACACATAATTAAACGTTTAAGCTCTTTGCGGCATTTAATGTACAAATCTCGACTATATGATAGCAATCTCAACTCGAAAACCCGCAAGTCGTGTTCAAGACTCTAAGATCGATGACATGAAAAAATGATTAATCCGAGGCCATGTATGTGAGTGATGTCATGCTAATCAAGTATATGATTAGAGGAGATTTCTTTCAACTAGAGACGAAGGAAAATGCTACCCTTTTTAACTTTTATCCGAATACCAAATAAGGATACATAAAACAAAATCACATGATTCCATATCGTATGAGCATACTCTGATCATATAGTCGAGAAACGATGAATTGTGACAAATAAGCAGATTCGAGAAACGATGTGGGAGTCCATGTATAAACTAAGTTCCAAAACAGAACACTGCATGATAATCAAACTTAACCAAATTCTGCTTAAGGTATTGCTCGACTTCTTTATATTTTTCTCTGGGGCAAGTTTTGACTTTCTCCATGCCTTTTTCCATTTTTTGCTGAAACAGAGCATCATGTGATAACGTGCCATTGAATGATTACTCTTTCTGATGAATAAAACAACGAGGGGATCGCCAAAACTCCCATTGTTTACTGTTTACATCCTCCAACGAATATAAATATCCCACCAATGAAAGAACAGAACAGAGGCCTGCCCCTTCCAAAACAGAGAAGAGAGAGAGAGAGATTAGAGTAGAACTAGAAGTGGTAGCAGATCTCAAAGCCTTTCCATTGCGGATCTCCTTCTGGGTCATCCCCAGAGAGCAATATAGAAATCGAGAAAAGCAAGGGGAAGAAGAAGAAGGGAGAGGTGTGTGCAGGCAGAAAGCTCAGGCCTTTTGTCTGAGATTTGTTTCCCATCTTCTCCAGAAAAATCTTTTGTCCCCATCCCCCCTTCCCTTCCATTTCCCCGAATCCCATCCCATCCCATCCCATGCTCTATCCTCGCTACAGAATACGATTCAATCCCGTCCCTTCTTGCCTTCAGTGTCAGTGTCGGCCTCAGCCTCAGCCTCAGCGCCCTTCCATTATCGCTCCGTACAAACACCAATCCATATAAACAAATCCTTGCTCGTAACCTCTGGAGGATACGCAAAAACAGAGGCGCTTGAACAGCATTCTTGACCGAGGAAGCTATAAAAGATCAAACCCAGAGCGCATAGGAGGGAAGTGAAGATTCCCATATTTTGGTGGCTGAAAAAATGGGGACTGGTTGGAGAAGAGCGCTCTGTTCAACACTCCCTAAAGACCCAGATTCCACGACGTCGGCCTCCTCCGATGAGCAACCCAGTAGCCCGACGACGCTGGCGAAGTGCACAAAGCTGAGATTTTTCTCGAACCCGTCCACGCCTCGCTTGAGCAAGACTCAGGCTCCGCAAGCTGTTTCGACCCCAACATTGCGCTGCAGGACCGTGGCGGAAGCTGCTCATGTGGCTAACAATACGGCGGAGGAGAGTCCCAAGCTCCAATGCAAGACCAAACCCGCCATTCTTAAGGCAACGAAGAGCCCAAGAACGTTTCTCGGTTTCTATTCCACTCCATCCTCTCCACGCTCTCCTCTCAAGCTCTCTCTTTTCAGAAACAGCTTCAAGTTCAGAGTAAGCAAAATAAAATAAAATAAAAACAGAGAACGGAAAGAACGCCGACGTTTGTACATGTTTTAACTGATGCAGAAAGATGAATTTGATTCAAAATGATGGCTGTTTGGTTGTTGCAGAGCGGTTGCGGCATTTGCTCGAACAGCTTGAAGGCGGGTCAAGGCACGGCCATCTACACGGCCGAGTGCGGCCACGGATTCCACTTCGCATGCGTGGCCTCGCTCGTGCGGGGCGCACGCAGCGGCTCTCTCGCTTGCCCGGTCTGCAACGCGGCTTGGAAGGACATCCCGCTGCTCGCCATCCACAAGAGCGCCAACAAAGAGGACGACAGCTCCGTCGTGGAAGACAAGAAGGTGATGATTCAGTCGTCCTCGCCGAGGACCCCCAACTCGGCCCGTTCGAGAAGCCGATACGACGACGACGAGCCACTGTCGTCCCCAAGATTCATTCCCATTCCAGAATCAGAGGAAGCGGAGGAAGTCGAAGAGTTTCAGGGCTTCTTCGCAAACGCGAAGGCGACCCACGTCGAGTTCACGCTTTCGCCGGAGTCCGCCGCCGTGTCGGCGTCCAAATCGCACGAGACCCGCGTGGTGGCCCTGCGCGCCAAGGCCCCGCCGGCGCCAAGGCCGCGGGGATCGGCGTGCAGCCGCGCGCCGGTGGACTTGGTCGCCGTGCTCGACGTGAGCGGGAGCATGGGCGGGGCGAAGCTGCAGATGCTGAAGCGGGCCGTGCTGCTGGTCATCTCGTCGCTCGGCTACGCCGACCGGCTCGCCATCGTGGCCTTCTCGGCTAGCGCCAGGAGGCTCCTGCCCCTGCGGAGGATGACGGCGCGGGGCCAGAGCGCCGCCCGGGAGATCGTCGGCCGGCTCGCCTGCGGCCAGGGGACGAGCGTCGGCGACGCGCTGCGGAAAGCCACGAAGGTGCTCGAGGACCGGCGGGAGAGGAACCCCGTCGCCAGCATAGTCCTCCTATCGGACGGCCAGGACGAGAGGGCGCGCCACGACAGCGACGCGAATCAGCGGCGGTCGAGGAGCCACGAGTCGTCCACGCGGTTCGCGCACGTGGAGATTCCCGTGCACGCGACCGGCCTCGGGGAGGACCGCGCCGGCTGCGGGGGCGGCGGCCGCCGCCGCGAGCCGGCGGACGACGCCTTCGCCAGGTGCGTCGGGGGGTTGCTGAGCGTCGTGGTGCGGGATCTGAGAATCCAGCTCGGCTTCGCGGCTGGCTCGGCTCCGGCCGAGATTGCGGCGGTCTACTCGTCCGGCGGACGGCCGAGACTGGTTGGGTCGGGGTCGGTTCGGCTGGGCGACTTGTATGCCGAGGAAGAGAGGGAGCTCCTCGTCGAGCTGAGGGTCCCGGCATCGGCCGTCGGCTCCCGTCACGTCTTGACCGTGCGATGCTCTTACAAGGACCCGTCGACGAAGGAAGACGTGTACGGCGGGGATCGGGCGCTCACGGTGCCGAGGACGGAAGCCCTCGGATCGGAGGACGCGAAGATCGGACGGCTGAGGAACCTCTTCGTGGTGACTCGGGCCTTAGCCGAGTCGAGGAGATTAGTGGAGCGCGAGGAGTACAGCACCGCGCATCAGTTGCTGGCATCGGCCCGATCCCTGATAGCGCGGACCGGCGCGGCGTCGGCCGACGATCACGCGAGGGCGCTGGACGCCGAGCTGGCGGAGGTGTGTTGGAGGAGGCAGGATCGGGCGGAGCAGCAGAGGACGGCGCAGCGGTGGAGAGGGAACGACCGGAGGGAGGCGGCGGCGGGGCTGGTGGACGAGAACGGGGAGCCGCTGACGCCGACGTCGGCTTGGAGAGCGGCTGAGGAGCTGGCTAAGCTGGCTGATAGGAAGAAGTCGATGAGGAGAGTCAGAGACTTGCATGGCTTTGAGAACGCTAGGTTTTAGGCAGCAGTAAAGATGAATTTTCCTTTTCTTTTCTTCTGTGTACTTCTTTTCACTTGGATATTGAAAAAGGGGGGTGTTAGAAAATAGGTGAAGAAAAGGTAAAATCAGACCAAAAAAAGAAGAGGGGGGGAAAAGCTGGAGATTTGATTTGGGTACTGTATCGTAATCTATTTTGACTGGTCAACGAAGCGGTGCTGATTGAGTGGGCTTGGTTTGGGCTTGAAGTCTTTGGCCTTTGTGGTCTAGAGGGAAAGAGAGGTACTTGGTCTTGTCGTTTTATGGTCGCATAGAAAGAGATGTAGTAAGATGAGAAGAGTGCCATGAAAAGTGAGTTTTGGATGAAACAGTTCATTCCTTTTCTCCCCTCCTCATTCAAATGACTCACAAGCAGGAAAACACAGATACAATCTGAAGATCATGAAATCAACTTATCTGTCTCCAAGAAATCACTACGTCGGCTCCGAGCGGTTCGTGTATAGCAGACACCACAAGTGGTATAAAGGGTGTGTGGAAATCAATATACTCGTCGTCGCGAGTACAAAATACTGAGGTTAGAGGGACAACTCGATGATTGTTTGATGCACTGACCAAAACTAATAACACACAAGTACAAACATACATTTTGCCTGAGGTAGAGGGACAACTGTTTGATACAATTGACTAAAGCTAGCTTACAATTTGTTAAGCTCACCCGACGAAGCCAAACTGGCACCGTAATCATGCGAAAGAATTGAGGTCAGCACATCCTGTGTGTTCTGAACCAATAAATGAAACTACAAGTAAAATGATTTTGAGAACTACCACCACAAGGGTCTCTAGAGTTATCTCCATCATAATCGACATCTGCACGATGGCGAAAAAATCCATCGCCGATGCATAGAAAATTTTCCTCCAATTTAACCCCTGCGGTCGCGAAAGAATATTTGAAAGAATCTTTGGATGAGAGCTTACTTCTGGCTTTGTTCGATTTTGGCTTTGATCTTCTGTTCCATCAATGTTATATCGGTATCGAGGCTGAAAATTCTGTTGAGAGCTTGCATATTCTCAAGGGTCTCGCTCAACGTATGGCCATCATCCCCATCGCATCTCAAGTGCTGCATCGGTCCATGAAGGAGCTTGTTAACTATGCTACGGCTAAGGTCATCCACGGCTCTCTTTGTTTTCTTTGGTACATCATCACCCAACTTAGACAAGCATTTCTCGAGCTCCGCGATTCTGATTCTCTCGGCATAAGCCCTCAGTTTCTTGATGGTAGGTACGGTCTCTAATGAATCCCTCCAAGCTTCAAATTGCTTTGTTTCTTCAGCAATTATCGCCTGAGCTTCCACGGCTTTATGGAGCCGATCCTCCTTGTTGGCAGCAACAACCTCTTTTAGATCATCGACATTGTATACTTTTGCTCCTCTAGCATCGACCGCACACGGGCTCACATTTCTAGGCACAGAAATATCGATGAAAAGCCTCAAACCTCCAACTTCTTGACTCACAGGGGGAAGATCTTGAACATGCTCTTTAAAAAATAAAGGAGCCTCCGAAGCTGTGCTTGTAAAAATCACATCTGCTTCAGCAGCACAAGATAGCATCTCAGTTAGGGGTTTGTAGGTTATCTCAACACCTCTTAGCTCCTCACCAATCGCTGCAACTCTCTCCTCACTTCTATTTACGACGACCATTTTTGTGCACCCTTTTGCCACCAAGTGCTTAATCACAAGTTTCCCCATCTTGCCTGCGCCTATGACTAACATTCTAGCAGTAGCGTGCGATGATTCAGGAATCTTCATCAATGCAAGTTCAACAGCAGCAGAACTAATGGAAACTGAGCCAGAAGCAATGTTCGTTTCGGTTCTAACCCGCTTCCCAACAGAGATGGCATGCTTAAAAAGTCCACTTATGCTCCTCCCAAATCCAACAACTCCTTGTCCAACTTTCACGACTTGTTTAACCTGAGCTAGAATCTGACCCTCTCCAAGGACAAGTGAATCAAGACCTGCTGAGACTTCAAAAAGATGTCGTGCAGCATCGTTGTTGTACAGCAAAAACTGGTGTTGACAAAGCGCTGAAACAGGTATTCCACTTGTCTGCCCAATGAGAAAAAGAAACAAGAACTTCAATCAAAATTATGAGTTATAATAGTCAAAGAGAATCATAATTATTTTGTGGAGAATATAATAGTCAGTAAAAGAAGATCCAGAAAACATCAAGATCAACGTACCAAACAAAAGATGATAGAGTAAAAAAAATTTATTAGTATTTGATGATAGTCAATGTAGCATTGTCTTTGGGGTCTCATATAACTATGACGGGAGCTTATCCAATAAGAGAATTATAAGATTTAGTCCATAATGGGCACGAATGCAAGAACGGACATAAGGGAATGTGCAAGCACCTTAGACATCCATTCGGTTACTTCTTTGACTCCACGATGCTGAGACAAAGCCACCACATATATCTCTGTTCTGTTGCAGGTGCTGAGAACGGCAGCTTCTTCTATATGATTCAAGCGACACAGCTCCTCGATGGCTCGGGGCCATTCTGCTTCCGGAATGGCGAGCTTCTCGCGCATTTCAACAGGCGTCGTGTGAACGCTAAGCCCGATAACCACAATACTGCTTCTTTCCTTTGTATATCCTGATAGTAGCAAAATCAAATCATATCAAGCTCAGGGACACTCGTCGCATGGAACCTCAAGTATCTTAGACAATAAAGTTAGGATCCGCAACAGTCAGAATCTAATCAGTGATTAATATTATGGCCGCAAGCTTGCAACAATGGAAAGGCAAAGCAACCAATATTGTCTGCACCGCGCCTAGCTCAATCTCGTCCGAGCGGCAAATGAAATTTTACATGGATCATCACAACAATGATACGACAACCTCCAAACACTTCGGATCAAGCAAAGGCATTTAGCTAGCTACTGTCTACCACATCAAAACTTTTCAACCAAAGATGAGGTCAAAATTCACACCATTCTAAGGAAAGAGATAAAATGGTCCGAATCATCTACGACGAAACGACTCAATTATCTTCCTTTCATGAGTTTTCCTCAGTTTCCATAGCTAATAGCTTAAGGAGCCTCGACGCAGAGCAGCCGAATTCAAAATCCGACCTTTCCACGCGCACGAAACGGACAACTATACCCCATCAAAGGAAAGCAAAAGAGCAATCACCCACGAAGCAATAGAACCCAGAAATCGAGACGCGAGAGGGGGGGACTCACTGTCGAGAGCGGACGCCTTGAGCTGCTCGAGAGCCGAGACACCCGACAGCTCCATCAGCTTCGGGTCCTCCTTCGCGGCCGTGACATCGCACCTCACCCCTGCTCCTCCTCCTCCTCCATTTCGCCGTTCCCGCCCCACCCACTTCAGCGGCCCGACGCGGGCGACGCTCCTCGACGGCGGGCACGCCGTCGAGTCCCGCCGCATCAAGCCCTTCAGTTTAGGACCGGCGAATCCGGCGGACACGGCCATGGACGGCGAGGAACTCGAGCCCAAAACCAAACCCTCACTGGTTTTCCAAGATTTAGGTGGCGATGAGACCGGATTCGAGAGGACGGGGTCGCTTCTTCTGATGGGTATTTGGTGAGGAGAGGTTGGGAAAGCTTGAAGTCCAGAGAGAGATGGGCGTGCGTGGGGGCGAGGGTGGGTTGGGAATGGAGATGGAGAAGAAGTTGCAGTTTCTCTTTTGGTTTTGCGCAGCGAGGGGAAGCCGGTGACCGTGTCCGGCACAACAGAGTTGACCGCGGACTCAAGAGATCCAGTCAGATCTAGACAGGGTGAGCGTCTCGACTTTTTCCAACGAATTTGGTAGGTGGGCCCGCCTTGCCACGTAGGCGTAGGCGTGTGCGTGAGGTGCTTCGGTCTATTTATCGCTCGACACGTGTTCGAGTGGGGGCCGACTTTTCAGAATTATTTCCTCTCCTTGTTTTTTTCCTTATTTGAACAAGTTCTTCTCTCGCCGTTTCTCTTCGTTTACTTTTTTGCCTTTTGAGGCCGTGGAGACGCTCGCCGCCGTGGACGGCAGTGTCACCGGCCAGCCATGGATGAGCGGGTCACGAGTGATGTTGATGCTCATCTATGGCCGCCTTCGGCGTTGTTCGGGCTTGCTATTAATTTCCCAACTAAAAGATACTTCACTCGTTTTTGAACACGATAGAACTATTTGAATATTTATCTTTTCTATCCACCACGGACGAAAAGAGAGATTCTTTCCGAGTGTGATCCTCAGCAAGACTTTATGATTCAAGTACATGATTTTGATGATCATATTATAATGCTCCAGCATTAATTAATGCTTTAGTATGATGCTCGCAGTACATTTGAACTGTGTAGGAAGGAGTCAAACTGAGCTATTCTGATGCAGATGTAGAAAAATCAACTATGTCATGCATGGGAGTTGGTGTCTTTTGTATTCAAGGCTTTATACTCTCATTTTGGGAAAAAAATTTGTGCTAGACGATTGTGTCTCTCATCCACAATGGTATAACTTGGCCCTTACTATAACATGCAACCGCTTCTAAGTGGTTGATTTTTTTTTTTTGTTCGAATAAGCGGTTGATATTCGAATTAGAGGTTACAATCGCATCTCTACGATTTTAGGCTCCATGATCACTTTCCATAATTAAATGTCAACTTTATTTATAAGCGGTTACAACTCTTCCATTGTCACTGGACTCAACTGCATTTTCTCCATGATTGCTCTCCATAAATGCACATTGATCTTCTCTACAAACCATTACGACTTCTCAATTGTCACTGGATTTAACCGTTAATTGACATCTTTATCGGTTTTTGCCTGCAAAATTTATCTGAGTGTCCAGTTCTTATCATATGTCAATAACTATGATCCCTTAACATCGATTTCTGTATTGATTCATGTCGATTTAGAAGACTTGGTCATTTTTTGGTGTCAACATTTGCCCCTATTTAATAGAATTAAAGAAATTACCTTTCAAAAGCATGACAACATGCATATCACCTTCATGATATTTCATACTCCATAATTTGACAGTTACTTTTTCTTGCCCCATGAAATCTGGACAAGTCATCCCATCGGCTCGTTTCATGAACCATTACCATTGCGAACCGTCATTTGAATCGGCATTTCCGAACCATTACCTCTTTTGGCATCATATATATACTCGTTTCAAGATCTCATATTCATATTATACTTTTACCTGCCTTCCGTCTTCAACCTTAAGCCAAATCTTTCTTCTCCTCTATTGGATTCCGAATCCCATTCTCATTCATTTAGAACTTCCATGGCTCCTGAAACTACCCTATTTTCATCTTTGATATACTTGTCTCGTTTTGACAAGCTCAAGGAGGAAGACCACCACGACAACTATGTTCTCGAACTCTTCAATGATTCAGAAAATTCCGAGCAGGTAATCCTAGGTCCGTGCTTCAGACAAAGTCATAGTATGGATTTATCTCTAAATGACTACTTTCTCGCTTTATTGAAGAAAAACTCCCCCATTCACAAGGTCTCTATCATCGAATACGTATGGAGCACCAAATCCAATCGATTTAGGCCTTTCCCCTCTTTCAATCTCAAGTTTTAGCGATGGTACTTGAAACTAAAATCTCAGGTTCGATCCATTTGAGAAGATACATGGCTCTCCAATTTGGTCGTTCCGACTTTCACTGCGACCTAGGTATTTTGTGTGGCTTAACTAGTTTTTGGTCCCCATCAACACATTAGTTTTTACTTCCTTCCGGGACCACTGTTGATTACTATTCTCGACCTCCATGCTATTACTCGTCTTAGCCCATAAGGGGACGATGTTAGAGAAGTTGAAGTCACTAACTGTCAATATGTCGAGCATGTCAACTATCTCTCTTGTGGCTCTTTCTTAGCCAAATATTTCAAAAACCCTAGTGAAGTCGGTCAACTTGAAGATATTGCTTTTTGTTAGGGTTAATATCGCGAAAAATCCAAAATTGGTAAACATGCAATAAATTTATCTCAAACTAATTGTTTGACCATAAAAAACCTCAAACTAGTATATTTATGACAAATTTACTCTCTGTTAGTTTCTGTTAAATTGGATTAATACAACGAAAAATCTCAAACTGATATACTTGTGACAAACGGAGGGTAAAACCTTAGACTGATACACCCAAAAAATTAGTTTGGAGTTAATTCATCACAGATGTACTAGTTTGGGATTTTTCGTGGTATTAACCCTTTTTGTTATATTCGCTTTGTCGATATGTTTTCTGCCACCCAACTCTCCAAATTTCCAAAGACTTGGCCAACTTGGCTCATCGCTTGGTTGAAGGCACAAAATTCGCCTTAGGTCAATAACTCTAATTAGTGTACCGCCAATGCATTTTCCGCGATACCCTTTGCATAAGATTTCGAATAAAAGGTGGAAATTGGAAATGGGTGCGAACAACAAAAGAATATAAGTTCTCTAGACATATATAGCACCCGAGAAATAACAAAATTCAATTGAATTGCAAATCAAACAAATATGGCAAAATGTTGGCTAGGATGCATCTCTGAGCGAAAATTTTTTACCAAAAAAATTCAATGATTGGAACACGAGAGAGATTTACAATCAAGTTGGGAAAGTCAAATATTAATGGTATTAATCAGTAATATCTTGACGTGAACATAATGTAAGTATCTATCTTTGTAATTTCATGTTGGGATCAAATCATTGTGATGTTGTTTTGTGCCATGTCGTAAATGCCTCTTACATGCACCTTACCAACTTCGCTTCAAATTTATAACATCATTTTTTTTAGGAGAATTACCGAAAAAAGTCCTAAACCTACTGCGTTTGTATCAATTCAGTTCTAAACTTTTCAATTTGGCCAATTTAGTCCTGAACCTTTTGACAATTTGCCAATGTAGTTAATCCGACCAATTTCGGGATACCTGTGAACAAATTAAATTCACAAAATGATATTGTGAAAATTTTGTTATTGAACATGTCGACGCTTCTCTAGCTAAAAAAGAAAATATATGATGCTTCACTAATTCTCTTTAATAATCTCAAATAGCACAAAAAGGACATAAGAAAAAAGCATCAACAAGGATGACGGCACACACAAGTGTCGCTAGGGCTTTTGTAGAAGAAGCAAAATCCATATGCTTTTGGTCCGTATTTCTTCACACATGCAGTGTTGCAAGGGTTGCTTTGACAGCCGCCACCGTACAGTGTCACTTGACACTGAGCCTCCACACCTTGCATCATTTCCAGCTCATTTCCTGTATATACAATTATCGTTATTATAAAGAAAACAGCAAGAGAAGAGATGAATATCATAATATTAAAACGTTTATAAAGCTAATGCTAAAGAAACTTACCAATGGTTATCAATAGGACAAACAAAAGAACGAGGGAAGTCGAATGAGTTTTCATGGTTAAGTGGTGGCTTCTTGTTCTAAAGAAGAAAAGGAAAACAACATGCGCAAAATAGAGCTTGAATACCTGGTTAATGATTGAGTTAGGCGATATTCATACACAGTTCATGTAGTAATTATGCGTTATTAATGGCTCAACAACAGTTCACGTTCTTCAACTATCGTGCGGCGGTTTTGATGGACATGTTAATTGACGAATTAATGGATACGTTAAATTGTTGCATATCTTCAACTCCGGTGAAGCGGTTTTATGACGTGAATGAATTAATGGAGGCATTAATGGACGCCTCTCTGTAATTCTCGTGCAGCAGTGTAGGTTAATGCGAGCAATTTTGTGGACGAATTGATGAACGAATTAATGGACGCTACTCTTCAGCCCTCCTTTTGTGGATGCATTAATGGACGAATTAATGGATGTGTTAAAGGACGCATCTCTTCAGCTTTCGTGAAGAAGTTTTTCGGAGAATTTCTTCAGTTCATAATAATCAGTTCAAAGTCTTCCTTAAATACCGAATGAGATAGAATTATTAGAATTATAATTATTCTTTAGAAATTCACTCCTCTAAGTGTTCTGGTTGTAAGAAGTGTTCGATAGAGTTCTGTTCATATAGTGCTAATATAAATGGGTTAGAGGTGTTGTATCTTGGGAAGCGTAGTTCGTGAAGCTGCTTAGCACTATTGTAAAGTAAAAAGCAAGAGAAGAGATGAATATCAAAATATTAAAACGTTCACAAAGCTAATTTTGAAGAAATTTACCAATGGAGATCAATAGGACAAACAGAAGAACGAGGGAAGTTGAATGAGTCTTCATGGTTACGCGGGTGGCTCCTTATTCTAGAAAAGAATGGGAAAACAATTCTCTTCAGCGAGTCATTACTATTTGTTATGAATGGCATATTAGTGTAAATAAACCTAAAAATTGCACAAACGGAGATGGTAAGAATCTCTTACGACACTCTTGCTTACTTCATTTTTATTTGCTTATTTTTTATTATTTTCTCTCTCTTTTATTAATTCTTTTCTTTTTTATTTATTTTTTCCCCTTCATCATTATCTAATAAAATACTAAATATATATTTTTATATATGGAATTTATATCATAAGATAGATAAAATTTTGAACATATAAACAAAAATAGGAATAAATAAAAAGGAAATTGTTGTTTTTTTTTGTTATTTTGAATTTTTTATATTAGAATTCAAATAGTATTTATATTCAAATATTATTTAAATATTATTAATTTAACAAGTTTGTATTCAAGAAAAATAACTTTTATATTATGGATATTAGATTTCCTATCCATATTTATCCCACTTCCCCCTTGGGGTAATTTTGTCCATTCTACATCCGTCCTATATCCGGCTTTATCCTATCTTGAGTAGACACCAAACACAAGATAGGATAATTTTTATCCTATCATGAATTTTATCCTAACTACCAAACATAGCATTTATCTTTGTTTTCCATAGCCATTAACTAGGATAGTATATAATTGACTTTCTGGTTAGATAATGTAGATGATTGACTTTTCATATATATGTCCACATATTAGTTGAGACTAATTCAAGGAGCAAAAGAGGACATTCAAATATAGCAAAGGACTTTTCGATATTGTCAATGTTAGATATTTAGATATATTCTGGAGATATTTAGGATATTTCCTATGATTTTCTTTATCAATTTTGATTATGCATATCTGAGTATATCTAAGTTGATTGCATAATCAAAATAGATAAGGAAATCAACTCATATATGCATAATCAAAATAGATAAAGAAAATCATAGGAAATATCCTAAATATCTCTAAAAGATATCTAAATATCTCTAACAGTCAATTTGTTCAAATTCTTGGGTATCCATGTTAATCACTAATTATGCACACTTAATCAATTACATTTGAATTCATAAAGCACTTTTCTAAATACTGCCATAAGGTTAGATCAACAGTAACGTTAAATCAAAGTGAGAATATAAAAAAACATAGTGTGAATGAGGAAAGTAAACCTCTAATTAAGAAATTCTCAAGCACCCTTGTTATCTCAAACTAATTGATTTTCTTGCATTTTCTATTGATTTGGTTCATCTGGGAAGTAAGATTCTATATAAATGCGAGTTTGGAAGAAAATTAAAATCACTGGAAATCCTCCAGAGAACATTGTCCCATTATCCATTTATCCATAATAAAATATAGGATATAAATAAATATAGATAAAGAAAAGCTTGTTTGTAAAAAGAAGTCATTAATAAACTCTCAAAAGAATTAAGGAATTCTCAAGCACCCTTGTTATCCCTTGACTACTTACTTTTTTGTATTTTCTATTGATTTGAGTTCATTTAAAAAATAGGAATCCATAGAAATGTGAGTTTGGAAGAAAATTAAATTCATAAGAAGTCATCAAGAGAACATATGATCTTTTACTATAATCGTCTCATGATTATTCATCACCCATTCATTTTAATATGTACGAGAATGTTACCGCGCATTATCGAGGTTGAAAAAAAAAATATATCAATGATTGACTACTTTATCATAATTATTAATCAACGATAAATACATACCCAAAAGCTATGTACTTGTATTAATCACGAAGTTGCTCAATACTTGGGGGACAGACTTGTGTGGGAATCATCCGCACAATATAAGCTCTATTTCCTATACCAATGAACGGATTTATGTTGCATAGTGGGTGCTCTTGGCCCAAATCACTTCTTTGGAGTTGCGATAAACTATTCAATTTTCAAAGGTCTAGTAATGCTGCACCATTTTGACCTTAGAATTTACTTTTGCCCCATTAAATTTCTCCAAATTATGTATGGATAAGTCATGACGAGGGCCAATTGCCCTTGTAAATTTATAAAGTTAATAAATTATCGCAAAATGCAATCAATATAGATAAACAAAGCAATAATTTTTATTGTATTTTTTAAGGGGAAAATACTGCTTTTATTTCTTAAGCAAAATACCTGATTTCTTTGCAATCACAGATCATATTCGTCCCCATTAAGAAAATATTATGGATTGTCCCTGGTCATCAATCTACGCTTTAGCTCATGTCTTACTAAGTCCATGAATTAAGTAAGGTACTTCGTGGACTTGGGGAAAATTGTCCAAAAAAGTTCTAAACTTATTGTACGATGGCCACTTCACTTCTAAATCTTTCAATTGTGCCAATTTAGTCCTAAACATATTATATGGTGGCCAATTCAGTCTAAAACAGTTCAATTGTGCTCATTTAGTACTAAACTTTTTGAGGATTTGCCAATTTAGTCCTAAATTTTTAACGAATTACCAATGTAGTTCTTCCAGCTAATTTTTGCCATAAAGTACTAACGTGGTAGTCCAGTCAGCGCCGGCTATCCTACATGACACGACTGGTGCTAATATGAACCTTTTAAAAAAAAAATCTGAATTTTTAGTTGATTTTTTCTTTTCTTTTCTTTCTTCACAGAGCCGGGGAGGCTATTGGTGACCTTCGATGGCAATGGGGCGAGGGTCGGCGACCCCCGCCGGCCACCGGCCCTTGTGAAGAGAAAATAAAAAAGGAAAATAGTAATAAAAAATCAATAAAAAATTAGTAACAAATTCAAAGAAAAATTTAAAAAATATAAAAAAGGTTCATGTCAGCACCAGATGTTCCTTAGAGGATGGTCAACACTAACTTGACCTCTACGTCATCGGGTTTTGGTCAAAATTAGTTGGAAGGACTACATTGGTGATTCTTTAAAAATTTTAGGACTAAATTGGCAAATCGTCAGAAGGTTTAGGACTAAAGTTTAGGGTATAGGTTTTGGATTAAATCGGCACCATTGAAAGGTTTAGGACTGAATTGGCCGACGTATAATATGTTTAGGACTTTTTGGATAATTTTCCATGTGGACTTGGATTTACCTACCTGAGATGGACTTTTTGTCCTAAAAATAAACATCTAGATTTATATCAATTATAGGACCAAGAGCTAGCAGGGGCATTGCATTCTATTATAAGCATTTGGTACTCGGCATATTTTATTAGTGCCTGAATTTTAGTTTTATGATATTCCCAATAGAAATTTTATATCTCACCCCGTCCGAAATAGGTTATTGCAAATTTTTGTTTTATTATCAAGTTAAATTTATGTTGGTGCTGCTTCTTCATCTAATATTAATGTATTTCCAATCAAATTCTTGTATCTTACCCCCTCCCAAATTAGGTTATTGTAGATTTTTTTTCATGTAATTGCTAAGTATATTTTATTATTGCATATTTTGTTAGTGCCTATATTTTACTTTTTTTAATGTTAACAATTTTGAACAGTGTTTTGATCAATGCCGAGTATATGACCTGAAAAAGATATAGTACATCATGTAATCCTCTGTGGATTTTAAAACATTCACAACATTCTCTACATTCACAATTAAAATCAGCCAAATATTTCTCCATAGCATATATACAAAAAGAGAGCTATCTAATGACTATCGTTAAGATAATTGATTTTGAAATAGTAACATGTGAAATCAATACTTTACACAACTAAAATTATTAGGTTAATGGTTTATATGTATTAAAAGGATTTTGGACCATAAAATGGTTGGTCCATGTAGATTCCACCAGATGTCAACATTGATATCAATATACATAATTCTTCATATATAGCATAGACCCATAATGGCTAATTCTACGAATGTACCACTTAAGACATGTTATCAATGATGGTTATGGCTAACTCTCTGTCTATAGCCTATAGGACATAACACACATAACGAGATGATGATTATGAGGGCTTGTGGTATTTAACAAGGATCTAAGTATGAAATGTATTTTGCTGAAAACTGTATAGGGTAATCGAATTATCTAAGTAAATAACGAATAACTCTAGTTAGTCCTTTAATATGTCAAATTTGGAGTCGAGGTGCGTATTGGTAAAAATAAACACTGGAAGTCATTTAAAGGAAAAGAATGGATCCACTCAAACAACTATTCCAAACCATAACGAATGATTCATTAGAATAAGTACAGGATAGATAATTAGCAATTTACATCACCTATCAATAGGGAAAACATGTCAAAAAAGTCATAAACTTATTACGTTAATGCTTATTTAGT